GTGAAGAAGAATTCAACACCGTAATTATATAATGAAGCTCCGTCCAAATTCAAACAAGCAAAATTCTCTTTGGAAAGCCCAAAAGTCCACCAACTGAYTCCAACATGCCTATACGAGACTATGGTGGAAATTGGGCTCGAAATGACGAGGAAAGGCTAATTGTTTTGCAAATCACATAGAAAAGGTATTTCAACCAAATTTGCCAAAGAACAACTTTAAGCTGTCAATCTTACCCAACACAGCTAAAGAGCCGCTCGAGTCTCTTAAGACTTCACCCTCTGAAATTTGGAATCATCAAAGAACTTAATCCAAAAAAGTCGCCGTGACATGATAATATTTCCCCAAAAATGCTAGTTGAGTTACCAATTATTGCTGCTTAATTGCTCTCTTTGCTTTTCAATGCAATTCTTAGTTTCGGATACTATCCAATTTCATAGAAAAAGTCACAGATTATCTTGATATATAAACCTAGGAAAGGCTTAACACAGCCATCTTCATACAGACCAATCAGTCTTCTACCCTGTCTTTCAAAAGTATTTAAAAAGGTATTACTATCAAAGATTTCTCTTTTCCTCCACGAAAACAATGCAATACCAATGCATCTTTGAGCAAGTAAATAGAATTACTAACGAGATAAGGAAAGCGTTTGATCACAGGAAGTACTGTTCAGCAATATTTGTAGATGTAGCTCAGGCATTTGATAAGCTGTGGCATGAAAGTCTTTTATATAAGATTAAAGAAAATTCTACCTTTAGAATTGTATAAAACATTGGAGTCTTATTTAAAAAATAGAAAATTTATGGTAAAAGTGGGAGATTTCATACCTGATGAACGACAGATAAGGGCTGGTGTACATCAGGGCAGTGTTTTAGGCCCAACACTATACGTCATATATACAACAGATCTTCCAACAGCTAATAATGCATTAACTTCAACATTTTACGAACAACAGYTTTAGTGAGCCGTAACAAATGCCACATTATAGCATTAAAAATATTAGCGGATCACTTGAGTTCTGTCGAAGAAGGGGTAGCGAACTGGCGTATAAATGTGAATGAACAAAAGTGTGAACATATTAAATTTTCGCTAAGACCAAAGATGTACCAGCCAGTAAAAATAAACAATATTTTTATACCCCAAGCGAACGAAGTAACATATTTTGGTATTCACCTAGATAGAAGGCTCATGTGGAAAAAACACATCTCTAGTAAAATAACATGTATGAAGATTAAAGCTGCAAATTTAAATTGGCTTTTAAACAAAAACTTCAAACTTAGCCTAGACAACAAAATGATTTTATATAATGCCGTCATAAAGCCGATTCGGATGTATGTCATTCAACTGTGGGGTACGACCTGTGCAACTAAAATTGATATATTACAAAGGTTTCAGTCAAAAATGCTTAGAACAACCACGTGTTCACCAYGGTACATGCGTAACGAAAATATCCAAAAAGACCTTGGTATCCCTATGGTAAAGAAAGAAGTAGAAGAGAGCAGAATTAAAATATGTCTAAAYTCCGAGATCACCCAAACCTTTTGGCTAATACATTTTGGTACATTCCTGCGATAAAAGAAGAGATATGACTGCGTATTAAAGACCGATGTATCACCAAACCAGCTCAATCACTTGCTTGAGCCTGTCTAGTTTTTAAATAGAATTTAGATTTTATAACTTATTGTTAGGCTTTAAGCAAAAGCGGATCCAATAAATAAAAATTTTTGGAAACAAAAAATGTATTATTTAAATATAGGAAATATTTTTGGAAACAAAAAATGTATTATTTAAATATAGGAAAGTACATAGAGTGGTTACTCTAATAAATTTATGTTAGAATTACAAAAACGTCTGATTCTTTCACATGTTTACTCATTGAACGTAAATTAGATTTATATCGAAAATGTATCATGTATGGCTATTTTTGCTGAGTTACATTTTTTTATAGTTGTACCTATAAATGTTGCATTGAAATATTTTACCAGGAAATGCGTATATCAAGCGTTGCGGTTACTGAGAGGGCTCTTATTTCTATTTTGTAGACTAAAACATAGAAAATAGCTATTTTACTTATAACTCAATTTCTCGTAGAAAGTTGGTTTGGTTTAAATACCCAGACAAAAAGTCGACGTTGCTATTTTATATTTATGCCTGAAGTTAACACTACTAAACATATTTTTTCTTTTTTTGTGGAATAGATTTTGGATATTTGTCTTCAATATTTAAGTTACGATCCTAACTATAACTATGAATCTGATGATAGTCATAGTTGCCTTGCGATGGACACTGAAGAAGGGGAATATGTCGACAGTGATGATTACAGTGACGATGACGATATAAGTTGGAAAGTTCGTCGTGCTGCCGCAAAATGTTTGGAAGCTTTAATAATAACTCGCCATGAATWTATTGAGAGTTTTTGCCAAGATTTGGGACCTATATTAATATTGCGTTTGAAAGAAAGAGAAGAAAATGTGAAGTCGGACATATTTCACGTATATATAACTTTGTTGAAAAGTGCAAAAGCACCACACCTTGTAGCACAAGATCCAGATTCTATGGAAGAAATTCCCCGAATTTTCTCTCTTCTTCAAGATCAACTAAAAGATGTTATTAAAATKATCCAACCTCTACTGCGTSAACGGTCGATGAAAACTCGTCAGGACTGTTTTCTTTTATTACGAGAATTATTAAATGTATTACCTGGAAGCTTAGGGCCATATTTAAATGATATTGTCCCTGGTATAAGTTACGCACTTTGTGATAAAAATTCCACAAGTAACATAAAAATTAGTGCATTAGGATTCTTATGCTCTCTTTTAACATGTCATACACAAACATATCTTTTTCAACTTCATATTCCCACACTGGTACCAATTATAATTACTGCAGTATTTGATTCATTTTATAAAATTTCTACAGAAGCACTTCAAGTCATGCAACAACTTGTAAAGGTT